CTGAGCCTGTTGTAGAAAATGCCCACAGAAAAGAACATGTGTCACTTTTTTTTCAAGTTAGATAATGGAAAAATTAACACAGGGAACAATGTAACACACATCGCATGCCTTTGCAAACTGAAAAGTAAAAGCTTGAAAATAACCACTAAGGTGTCTAATTGCTCAACAAATCTTCCACCTTTCTAATGATCTTTAATGTCAGAGTTTTCAAAGAGAATTGTTGAGTGGTCTGAAGAAATAATTTAAAGATTACTTCACTATAGCACAGTGGTTCCCCACACGGGCTATTTTGTCACCAGAGGACATTGTGCAACCAATCACATAAAATTTTGCCTTTTTCTCTTGTTCAGAATTATAGAAATTTCTCGGGCATGGAAAAATAGACTACTTTCTGAGGGAAATGTTTGGGTAGCACACTGCAAAGTGTGTGGGAGGGAACATGCTAGTTTGCCATCTTTGGGGGTGAGAATGAGACTACTCTGATCACCCAGTTCACATGACTCTCCCATGCCAGTCAAATCCCAAAGTCTCTGAAAGCTATTGTCTCAAAATCTAGGGCGTTGGGCCTCCCTGGTGGCGCAGAGGTAAGTCTCAGCGCTGTCAAGCTTTATCTCCAGCCGCTGCAGCACGAGTTCCATCCCGGCCAGGGAGCCTCACACACAGCACAGCAGACCTGTCTCCCTGCTGCTCCCCTCAGCAGTGCATTTCAGTAGATCTGCCTGTTCTGTTCCCCACTCTGTCTCTGGGGAATCCTCTCACCCCCCCACACATACACCTCTGGCCTATACCCCAGCTCTTGTATGCGTAAGTAAATAAAAGTAAAATCTTTAAAACAAAAACAGGGCCTCATCTCTATGGCCTGTGTACAGATCCTGTGCTGGCTTGATGGTTGACCAGCCGGCAAAAGCTGAGTGTTGTCAACTCTCTCAAGGTTTTTGCCACCGAGGGGGTCAGAGAGGGCTCTTACACACGAGTGTTCGTGCCCTGTTCTGCTCCCCAACTGTGATGTGGCTCTTGCATTGGTCTATACACTGGCCCTCAAATTGGACCAAACTATAGTGCCCTCATCTTTGGTTGTCACACTGGAAGGGGACTGGTGAGGACCCAACACCTTGGTCCTCGTTGGAAGTTCTGGAGTTCTGTAATGCCAGGATTGAATAAGGAGTTAACCACGAGGTGTGTTTTCAGAACCCCTGGGCTGGAGGGAGGGTGTCAGGCCTGCATCCCTTACAGGAGGCCCAGAACAGTGTGTCACTCATTGAAATGAGCAGACCAGACACTCGGGGTGGGGAAGCTGTTATGGGGAGTCCTGTGTGGACTCCCCGAGGCAGGAGGCACTGTGGCCATGGCTGCACCCCATCTCAGGCCAGCCCCCCTCCTGCTGCCTGTGGGCGTGAGCAGGATCCTGAGCACTTCCAGATCTTTCTTGGAGCTGACACGAGTGGGAAAGGGAGAGGGGAGGGGAGAAGGGACCAGGAGGCAGGCTGGGGAAAGGGGTAGAGGGTTGTGCACACTCCTCAGCCGACTTCCCCTGGGCGTTGGGAGAGGGGCCCCGTGCCCACCTCTGCCTCTTGTGCTGCGCTGCTTCAGGAGTGCCTGTGCCTCCCTGCCTCTCTCTGCCAGCGGCCTGAGGGGCCATCAGCTCTGGACTCCAAACCAGACTCTCGGTCCCCCAAAGCGCTGCCTCCTGATTGGGGAAGTAGCCCCGCAGCGATGGTCCAAAAGGTCGTTCTGAGGCCTCCAGCCTCAGCTGAGCCAGCTGCTCCATTAACTGTTCCTGCTCTCACCCATCCACACCCAGGTCCTTGGTGACAGGCTTCCCCTCAGCTGCCTCTTGATTCTTCTCTCCCCTGGCTTGTTAGTTCAGGGAGTTCCCCCCTTGCTCCCAGCACACGCTGTGCTTCCGGGAAGGGGCCAAACAGCCATCAGCATGGTGTCCCCAGGTAGAGCTGCATGTTGCTTCTACCTGTTTGAAGCAACAGATAGGTTTGTTCTAGCCTCTGACGGGCCCCTGGGACAAAAAAAGGGGGAGAATGAGACCAAAGAGCCACTTCCAATGAGACTTGCTTTTGTGGCTCTGTGGCACTTTTAAGGGACTAATTTCCAATGGAATTTGAAGGACCTATTGGGCCTGGCACTTGACTTGCGGTTCTCTCTTAGGGGATTGTGTGGGTGCACAACCAGCAAAGGCAAGAGATTTTGAACCTGCAGGTTGAGTTGCGTTGCCCCAGTCCCATTTGAACATGTGGACTGAATCATGGATGGGAAGCTGTGTCCAAGCAAATACCCCCACTGCATGACCACGGAGCACCCTGAAAGGCAGTGTTAGACCCTGACTAAGGATCATCTCAGTCTCCTGTAGGGAGAAGGCAGCCCACAGTGCAGCTGGAATGTGACTTACCTGAGCCCGCCTGGCATAGGCCAGGACAGGCTGGCACTGCCCTTCTCCCCACCTCGTGAACTTCCCCTTTAAATGTCTCCTCCTAGCTCCCTTGGGAGACCCAGGTTATATTTTCCTTCCCCAAACTGGCCCTCTCATGCATGAGTCTCTAAGAAAACCTTGCCTGGCTCAACTACACCTTGTACTCCAGGAAATTCATTTCCTGGAGGGCAAGAGACCCTCTTTTAGGTTTGAGGCCTTATGACAGTTGTCTGCATGGTAGTGTCACAAGCAACCAAGTGCCAGGCCCAGCTGGGGCAGTTAGTGAAGTGATGCTCCCCAAATCTAAGGCTTTCCAGCTCCCCAGGGTTTGCGGTGAGGGGTCACTCATGTTTTGTACCCTGAAGAGTGAAATGGGTGCCTGGGTCAATGGCAGTACTGACAGTGACTCCAAGGGGACAAGGACGGGGTGCGTCTGGCTGGGACAGGCCTTCCCTGCACACAGCACTTCTGCCAATCTGCCCCTATGCACTTACAGGATGCATTCCGCACCGTCACCCCTGCACACAGCACAGCTTCTCATCAGGGAACCCCGAACAGCAGCAGCAGGGCGGCCCTGGGCCCATGCTGGTGGCGGTCCCAGGTCTTGTCAGGTCCCAGCCTCCCTAGCAGCCTCCTTGACAGGATGGGGGCCACCTCTGCCCACTGAGTCACCAGGCCAGCAGGTGGCCATGCCCAAAGGGCTGGGGCAGTTTCTCCGGGAGGCTGGGCTGAGTTGTGGTCAGGACCTGCTACTGTCTCCACAGCCAGAAAACAAGGGTCCCATCATCAAGGGGTGGAAATGTGGGTGACACTACTCCCTGTCCCATGGGCCTGCTGGGAAAGTGGGAGAATGTAAGAGCAGCTCAGTCTCGGGCCTTTTAGGAGACGGGGTGACTACTGCCATCACAACAGCCAGCCCCAGGCAGTCGCAGGAGGTTCTGAGAATTAATGCAGCCCCGCGCCCAGTGCCCCGCCAGCCTGAGCTGGCAGCAGCTTCTAGTCCCAAAGTCCAGGTCGGGTCCCCAGCCCCAGGCTCCCCATCCCCTTCCCTCCAGAGAGGGCCATGAGGGGGTTGCTCCCAAACAAGCTTCTGATCCACAACACAGCTCGCCACCTTGTTCCCATGGCTCTCGGTGCCAACTCAGCTTGCCCCCGAGGGTCATTCCTGCCAGCCTGGCCCCAGGCCGCCGTGCCCAACACATCTCTCCATTCCTCCCCATGGGAGCTGGGCTCTCCCTGGAGGGACTCGGGAGCACAGGTTGGCCATCTCCGCGGGCCGCCCTCGATCCTTCAAGGGCAGAGAGCTGTGTGGTCAGGTCTGACTTAGACCGGGCCTAGAGGACGTCTGTCCACTCGCCCCTGCACGCCTTTAGCTCCCCGCCCACAGCTGCAGCGGGGAGGGAAGGAGCCCACGGGCCTCCTTTCCAAACAAGTTTTACTTTCCTTTTCCAAGCTCTCTTCTCATCAGAGTCAAATTCCTGGGGGGACCCACCCACACCTCAGGACTCAGAACTTCCCAGCCTCACAAACAGTAAACAAAAACATCCTCAAAGGCTGCCCACTCGGGAGTGAGCCCGTGTGACCCCAGCTCTGGCTTCTGCAATCCGGGCATGGTGCCGGCCAAGAGCCCCGATGCCAGGAGAAAACGGCGCTTGCAGTCGTGGCCTCGTCGTCCTGGGAGGCAGCCTCACTCATGGGGTTTGCTGGAGGGACTGATGCGGCCGAGAGTCAGGGCCCCCCTGTGCTCTGCAGCTCCCCACGCAGCGGCTGTGATTTTGAAACAGGGGTGGTAGGGGCAGGAGGATGGGATTCCAGGGTAGGCCAGAACGGCCACCCACCTGCCCAGGCGCTAAGAGAAGAGACCCCCAAAAGGCCAAAAATCAGAACCGATGGCTATAGCAATACAGTGCCACACAGCAGGGCTCTATGGGCCACAGCCGATCACAGGACAGTGCCCGACAGAGTACGGGGCACTGTGGGTTCTCACCCATGCTCAACTGCAAGAGCCCTTGGGCTCAGGGAACACCACCCATGGGGTTTATTTTACAAACAAGGTCAACAAATTGCTGACTGTAGCCACAAGTGGTGGCTACCTCACCCAGATAGTGCCCACCAGAAGTACAAGCAGAGTTTGTACTGTCTCCAGGAGTGCCGGGCAGCGCTGGCCAGTTGTGATGGTCACGAGCGGCTCCCCTGAGGCGGTGTGGCAGACACCAAGTGTTAATAACTCTGAGACACCAGGCCCAGGTCCTTTGGTGCTCCTTCCAGGCGGTGTTAGACACAGGACCGGGGCTCAGCCTCTCACAAAGGGTGGGCTTCTCTGCCTTCCTCCTTGGGAGTCTGCTGCTGGATGCTTCTTCTTTCAGCTTCTGGTCCTTCTTCTTTCTCCAAATGCCAGGAACAGTCTTCCCCTTTCCTGGGAACAGACTGTCTTGGGCGCCTCAACCCTGGCTTATATCCTCTTTCAAGGTGCCACGCTCACAAGTCTGATTGGACCCTTTTCCAATCCTGTGGCTGATTGGACCATTTAGCACCAATCAGCTCATAGCTCGTACCTGATTGGTCCAATCCATGATCCTGGAAGTAAAGGGTGGTTGCTGGGTGCTGAGGAGCAACTGCCACAACTGACACATGAGCAGTGCAGGCTGCCACCTCTGAGGCTGCTGGGTGCTGGTAACAATTTTACAGAAGTTTATACAAGACCTGGTTTCGGGTGATACTGGGCTCTGGATGGAGGTCCTTCCCTCTCCTGTAGCATCAGTGTAGCTATTAGGGAACCTGAAGGGCGGTGCCTCGGGGAGGGTTCCAGTATCCTGCACCCAGTGCCCTGACCTACGACCAGCCTTCAGAGATACAGCAGAAGGGCCCAGAAAGGAGGCTTCTTTTTTTTAAAGATTTTTATTTATTTATGCATGCAGGAACTGGGGTGCAGGGCCTCTCTGGTGGCACAAGGGTTAAGCACAGCACTGTGAAGCTGTCCGCAGCCTCTGCAGCACAAGTTCGATCCCTAACAGCCCAGAGAGCTACCCACATGGCCCAGCAGACCTATCCTGTCTCCTCGCTGCTCCCCTCAGCAGTGTATTTCAGTGGATCTGCCTGTTCTGCTCCCAACTCTTCTCTAGTGAATCCTCTCACCGCCCCCCAGCACCTTTGGCCTGCACCCCAGTTCTTGTATGCATAAATCAATATTTAAATAATAATAATAATAATAAAGAGACAGGAGAGGTCTGCTGCACCATGTGGGTCAGCTCCCTGGCCGGGGATCGAACTCAGACCGTAGCAGTAAGAGCACTGAGATTCAACCCTTAAGCCACCAGAGAGGCCCATGACTTTCTTTTTAAAATTTTACCTTCCATAATTCCCACTTCTTATTGAGATCTGTCCCTGGAGAGCATTGAGAGAGGCGTATATTTATATACACGATTAAGAGTCCCATGCACTGGGGTGTCAGAGGTTGTAACATCCAAATTTGAAGAGATACAGGAACACTGGGCAGTAACTTTAGTTTAAGGCCATGTTTAAGCATGAGGGACAGCCCTGGAAATGGGGTGTTAGGCAGTATCCTCTAAGTGAATGTTCAAAAGGTGGCCTCACAATGAATATTCAGTCAACAATTACTTGTTTGTTTCAAAGATTTTTGCAGAGAAAGTTCAGGAAAGCACCTGGTTAATTTGATGTTGTGTATTTATTGAGGGAAACAGGTGTGTAGTTAGAATTGAGCCCCTGTATTTAGAGCTTATCCTCTGGGATCTGGAAGCTTTAGCAGTGCCACAAACCTGGAAAGTCTGTCCTTTGGCAGTTGATGATTTGCTCAGAAACGACTTCTTGTTGCTGAAACAGCTTCTTCCCAGGGCCAGGCCAGCTGAGCCTGACTCTCCTTGTGCCCCTCAGTGGAGACCTGGAGAGGGGCGCAGCTTCATTGGTGACTTTAGTTTACAAGGGATTAGGTAGAAAAACTAAACATTCCATCCTTGTTCACCAGGGTATATTTTGAAAAATTATGTTCAAGTGAAACGGTATTTTTAAAATTTTTATTTTAAAATCTGGCGCAGGGACTCCCTGATGGCCTAAGGGTTGAGTCTCAGCACTACCAGGCTATCACAGCTACAGCCTGAGTTCAATCCCCAGCCAGGGAGCTGACCCACAGGGTGCAGCAGACCTCTTCTGTCTCCCAGCTGCTCCCCTCAGCAGTGTATCTCAGTGGATCCACCTGTTCTGCTCCCCACTCTGTCTCTGGTCAATCCTTTCACTTCCCTCCCCCTGTACCCCTGGCCTGTACCCCAGTTCTACAGAGAAATAAATCTTTTTTTTAAATCTGGTTCAATTTTATGATCTTCAAATTATGGAGACCCATAATTTTGTGTTCCCATTCAGGTCCTTCCCATGAATTTTTTTAAAGATGAAACACACTAGTAACAAGTATCAGAATAAAACAATAATTGTCTGAGTGATGAAGACTGCAAATGCCCATAGATGAAGATCAGATGGGAATTTTTTTAAGATTTATTTATTTATGCTTACAAGAGCCAGGGTGCAGGCCAGAGGTGCAGGGGGTGAGAGGATTCACCAGAGACAGAGTGGGGAGCAGAACAGGTAGATCTACTGAAATACACTGCTGAGGGGAGCAGCAGGGAGACAGGAGAGGTCTGCTGCACCCTGTGGGTCAGCTCCCTGGCCGAAGATTTAAAGACCTGATGATAAATACACATATGATGCAATTTTTCTATAAAATGAAGCGAGAAACATAGTGTGTTATACTAAATATCTTTAAATTTTAAATTGTTAGCCTCAAGTGTTGGTGTTAGCCTCAGCAAGAGTGTACAGCGTTTTGGTGGAAGACTATCAGGAACACGAGTCTGCTTAAGACTCCATTCTTTTCTCCCAGCTCTGCTTCCAGTGTTCTCCACGTGTTCCCAAGAAGATCACAAAATGAATGAATCTCTGGTGAGTCACTTATTTTTCTCAGCTCGTTTCATATTGAGCTTTATCGAGGGCTCGTAAGCTGAAATGAGCAAAAGAAAAAGGAAAACGTGCACTTCATGAAATCAATATACGCAGGAGGAAGGAGACCAGTGGATGCAGGCAGGTCATCCAACCTTAGGGCCCCCAGGCTTAGGGCATGTTGTGTCTGGTCGCCCTGAAACCATGACCAAGAGAGAAGCACATGGTTCCCTGATCAGAATGGACCCTTACAACGTAGCAGCCTGCATTTTCCTGGGACACGGACACTCGCGGGCACAGAGGTACCAGAGTATGCAGGCTACAGAGATGATGATGGTGACCATGTCCTGTTACCCATGTGGAACAAAACACTTCCTGCCTGTAGCAGTGATTATGGTTTGCCCCAGAAAGCACACCTGATGAAGTTTGTCTGTGGGGGCTAAACTGTGTGGTGCAGACGACACTTGGAAGGCCCTGCTTGAGGCCACAGGCAATGTCTGAGGACCGAGGTGACTGCAGGGCCTGCAGTGACTCTCCGGAGACTCTACTCCTCTGTGTGTTTAGCTTGCTCAGCAGATGGTCCAGTGTTGTCTTTTTGACAGATGTTTCTACAGCTGTTTTCTCTTTCACTGCTCCATGTATCTAGATTCATTTCTTTTTTTTTTAAAGATTTATGCATACAAGAACTGTGGTGCAAGCCAGAGGTTGTGGGGGTTGAGGATTCATCAGACGTAGAGTGGGGAGCAGAACAGGAAGATCTACTGAAAGACAGTGAGGGGAGCAGCGGGGAGACAGGAGAGGTCTGCTGCGCCATGTGGGTCTGCTCCCTGGCTGGAGATCACTTCATAGTGCTGACACTTAACCCCTGCCCCACCAGGGAGGCCTAGATTCATTTATCAAGCTCACTAATACTGTAATCTTCATCCACAGACTGTTGTCTAGGCTTTGCCTGCCTGGAATCTTCTGGCATTTTTTAACTATTATCCATGACCTCCTAGGAGTTTTTCTCTGTCACTTTCTCTCTTAGGTTCTCTGACAACATCTTGGCTGCTTCCCTGATTTCTGTGTCTTCTGCTCATGACTTGGTACAGCCCAGTGTTTGGTCTGGACATGCTGACACTCTGCTGTTCTGGTCTGATCTGTCACATATTCCACCTGCTTTTGGCTTCCTCCCAGCTTTCCAGCTCAGGTCCCCTCCCTGTTGCCTGCTTCTCTGTAGCTGTGCAGAGGGCACCTGAGGCTCAACAGACCCCATCCTCCTCCTTCCCTGGCCTATGGTGTGCCCTGGATTTTTGCTGGCTCCACCTCTCTTCAGGATTCCTCTCCTCTCCTACATGTTGCGCTTTCCTTGTTAGGCCTCTGACGTTCTCTGCTGGCTGCGTGGTGCTCACAACCAAACGCAACCTCTTCTGTTCCATTTCCAGTCGTCACTCAGGCAGAGCTGAGGGAGTGTTGCTCAGTGCTGAGGCTCCATCGCTCTCCAGCCATCCAGAGCCTCTGGCAGAGGGGACGCCTGGAAACCAGGGGAGGAAGCATTGGGAGCCCTCCCAGGATGAGGAGGAGAAGCACTGGGGAGGGACACAGGGAGCAGAGCTTGCCTCAGGGTATTCTTGGTGCTGGCTGCCCCCAGCGCCTGCTTCCCCGAAATGTCTCATGTGCCCCAGGGAGGCTGCCCTGTGATGACACATTCCTCCCTGTGTCACACATCCCTGGTGACTCTGTGTGACCTTCTGCCTCTGTGAACTTGTCTCCTCTAAACAGCTCCTGGTCTAGAAACACTCGATCTGCTCTTGTCTCTGTGGAGGCCTTGCTTCCTGGCACCAGCTGCAGGGTCCTGCCACCTCATGACTTTTGTCAAGATTTGTGTCTCTTGTAGCTTCAGTTTGTTCTGGCACAACATGCTCATTTTTCTTCAAGCACTGGGTGGCCTCCTCCAGCTCTGGCCTCAGATCCTGGGAGTTCACTGAGCTGGGCCAAATGTAGTCATGTAGCTCCCTCTTTTATTTCCTTTCATTGTTTACACCCTATGGCTTAGGAAATGGATCTTGCTACCTCTACGGCGGACATAAATGTATTTCCCATAGCAGGATTCAGAAAGCGGGCTGAGTGCATGCATACTGTTCACATATAAGTAATTCGAAATGAGGTGATCACTAAGATGGATTATTGTTACAATTAGTTCATATTTCCAAATGAAGAACAGCTTTAATGTGTTTATCTCTCCTCATGGCCCAGAATCATTCCTTACATAGCGCTCTTGTCAGTTGCATGTTCATGAACCTATCTTGTATGTCATCGCATCTAAATTCTGCTGCAGAATCCTCAGGAGCACAGTGGCCCCAAGTGAGCTCAGCTGTGCAACGCGGGGAGGTGCAAATGCAGGTCACTAGTGCTGGGGGTTCTCACTAGATCACTCTCCACTGTTTCCATAAATCCTCACACTCATTTTTCCAGATATTTGTTGGGGCTTATTTATCAGGCCCCTTGACGACCAAAATTTTATTCATGCTTTTGTTCTTAGAGTGAAGTTCATTTCCACATTTGTAAGTCAAACCGTGTGACATTATTTTTATGGACTAATGACTTAACACACAGGTAGGGGGTTTCTGGTGATCTGTCTCCCCATGGAGAGTGCAGAGCGTGATGTGTCCAATATAAGAGAAAACAGGTACAAAAGAATGAGTTCCCAGGCCTCTAGGTGTTCAGACAAAACAATGTTACCTTGAGTGAGGAGATGGTGCCATTACAGGGGATGGTGACCTTTGAGGACGTGACTGTGAACATCACCTGGGAGGAGTGGCAGGACCTGGACGACGCTCAGAGGACCCTCTACAGGGACGTGATGCTGGAGACCTACGGGAGCCTGGTGTTCCTGGGTGAGTGAAGGTGTCCAGTAACAGTCTAATGAAATCAGTTTTCTTCACTGACACATGAACAGCTATGAATGTAATGAAACAGAATTTAGATTTGAGATTTCAGAACAATGAGATATGAGTGCCCCCTTCTCTAATAAATGCTTAAATTGTCCCTTCATTACACAAAAGTGAAAGCGCTGGTAGTTCTTCCAGGACTGTGACATAAAGCATGTATTTCTCATCAGCAGGGCATTGTGTTATGAAGCCTGAGCTGATGATCAGAATGCAGCAAGGAGCAGAGCCGTGGACTGGGGAAGGACCCCCAGATCGGACCCTGTCAGGTCAGTGGGCTCATTCTAGGGAGGAAGACCTGGGAGAGCCTGCCTGAGCCCTTATCGTCCCTGGCCCTCCCAGGTATGCCCCTTGGAGAGTTAGTATGCACGTTCCTTACTCTGGGTGCAAAAATCGCTCCCCCACATCCACTCTCCACTTTTTATAAATAGCCATAAATCTTCTTAGACCACCAATATTCAGTCCCCGTGTCCTACGTTGGCACTTCATTTTGGTCTGACCTTTCCTGACACCTTAGTTTCCCTTCTCTCCTTTTTCATGGGGGTTTTTCTTTCAGGCATTTACTCACATAGTTGTTTATACTTGCAGCATTTTCACTGGGAGGTTTTAGAGGCAGGAGTATTTTGCAATTGTTGGGCAAACAACAATATTCACTTTAAATTCTATTTTCTGCACCTGAAATACTCTTGACTAATAGAAAAATATGAATTACACATATTAACTCGTGAAATAAGAGTCATAAAGTTTTTTTTTTTTTTTTTTTTTATAGAGGCATGCTTTATTTATTTGTTTGCTGGTTTGTTTGTTTGTTTTTGTTTATACATGCACTGGGTACAGTCAGAAGTGCGGGAGGGTGAGAGAATTCACCAGAGCCAGAGCGGGGAGCAGAGCAGGCAGAAGGACCGAAGTACACTGCTGAGGGGAGCAGCGGGCGGCAGGAGAGGTCTGCGCGCCATGTGGGACCCTCCTCTGGTGGCCGGGGAGCAGCCGGGGATCGAACCGGCGCCGCAGAGGCCGCGCGCAGCTTCGCAACCCAGCGCTCAACCGCTGCGCCACCGGGGAGGCCCAAGAGTCATAAAGTTTTTAACTAAGCTGACAGAGATAATGATGGGACATTATTTTCAGAATGGGCTCAGATGGCATTTTTACACAGCTTCAGCATTTACACTGAAGACTTTTATTTAGAGATGGCAATTTTCAATGTGACATTTCGTAGACAAGTGTATGTCCCCTCTGGAGTGCAGGGTAGACATCACGACCATAGTTGGACGTTAGGAGATGGTTAAATCAAAAGTAGAAATATAGAGGCAGTTGCCCCTGGAGTTACTAAGGACAGAAATGACAAGGTTCAGGGCAAACCACATGACCCGCACTAGCAGTTGTGCACCTGGGTGTGTCCTTGCACACTGATCACCCTGCGAAGGGGTGGGTGTGACACAGGAAAGGAAGGGACATTGTGGGTCCAAAACCCACATGGCCAAGTGTTTTAGGGCTCAGACTTTGGGAGTGGAGTTTCAAGTTAGTATTTTCACTCTCTCTTGTGGAAATCTCTTTTTAAAGCTTAGGTGAGAAACATGTCTAGACTTTGGTTTCAGTGTAATTAGGAGACTGATGCATGTCTAACATGCAAAGAGAAAATCTTCAAATGCTGTGAATTCTCAACTTGAATATTTTTTCCAAGAAGTGGAGTGAGTGCACCAGGACTTTGGCTGTAACGGAGATCTGGAATAAGTTGTTTTTCCCAGCCTGTGTTGCAGAATGTCCATCTTTACACCACAGGAAAGGGATGTACAAAGGAAAAATTGATCACAGTAGGTTCGGAGAAGCCAGTGAGGTAGGGTTTACAAATTCTAGAGAGCTGTCTTTGTCTACTGTGGAGAAGCTTCTGTCTTTGGGGAAAACCCCACTACATTTAGGCCATCCCTAGGGAGAAGCAAACATCAAACAAATATACAGCAAAAGTATCCCTGAGGTTTATTCCTACTTAAGTGCAGACACTTGATCCTCCAACAACCCTAGTAAGTAGCTGGTACAGGTAAATCTCGCCACCCTAACAGCTGGATCACAGGGAAACCAGCTCAGGAAACAACTATGGGAAGGATGCCGAGGAGTAGAACTGGGTTAACCACTGGTTGGTGAAAACCTCTTACTAGAGATCTACAGTTACAGAGGAGGTGACTCCACTGACCAAGTGTATGAAGAATTTTGTTTTTGCTTTTGTCTTTTGGGTACACTTGCTTGACATTATAATATACTTTAATAATACCTGTGGGTAAATGTGCCTTCATGTATAGCATAAAACTTTAATGTGTAGCATAAAGCCAATGGTGATTATTGATTTCTCTTCAACTGTTGGAATTCTGTTATCTGAATTAAGTTCTTCACTTCTGCAGTAACTACCACAAGAAATGCGTCAGTGTTGTTCAAGGCGTGCTTATCTTCCTCTCATTGTAGGAGCCCAGATGAGGCCGCACCCCCTTGTGACTCCCCAGGACATTCAGGGCAAACATTGGTGTAACTTTGTTTTTACCAGCCACAAAACAGCAACAAGCGAAAGAATCAACTGGAGAAAACCATTGAGTTTAAGCTCAACCCATTCTTTGGAAAGAAATCATCGAAATTATTCAGGAAGGATGCCTGAGGACAGCAATGGTATGTGTGAGATTGTATTTCCCCTTGGTGAACCTGGTGAGGAGCCTGATGGAGACACAGCAGGGGACTGTCACCTCTGTGGGCAACTGGCCCACTGTCCTGATCATCCTAATGGTCAACAAATGATTCAAACATTTCAGCAGCCTCCTGAACTCTGTGGGCAAGAGAAAGCCTTGAACAAGGGGTCAGCAGTCTTTGCACGTAACACAGCTGTTTTGGGAGGAGCTCCCCATAAAAATAATGAATATAGGAAATCCTTTAAGAACCTTGCTTTTACTGTCACTGAGACAACTCACACTGGAGAGTCCAAATACCGATGTGACAAAGGGTGTGAAATCATTGAAAAACCAACACAATTACTTCCTGATCGTGATGTTGACGGTGAACACAGTATATTTAATCAAAATGGGGATATTTTCAGTAGGGAATTGCACATTACTCAGAATCAGAGGACTGGGGTAGAGAAAAAGTTTGAAGATACTATATGTAGAAAAAGTCCCTGCAAAATATCTGTCCTCACTAAACATCAGAGCATAGAAATAGGGGCAAAATCTTCTGAGTGTTTGAAAACCTGTAAGAAATCAGTACTCAGTAGACATGAAAGAACTCTCACAGGAGAGAAACCCTATGAATGTACGGAATGTGGAAAAGCTTTCTCCAAGAAATCATCACTCACTACACATCAGAGAATTCACACAGGCGAGAAACCCTATGTATGCGAAACGTGCAGGAAGTCTTTCTCCCAGAAGTCACACCTCTCTCGACATCAAAGAATTCACACAGGAGAAAAACCCTATGAATGTGAACAATGTAGGGAATCTTTTAGAACTAAGGTTTGTCTGATTAAGCATCAGGAAATTCACAGAGGAGAAAAATCCTATAAATGTAAGGAATGTGGGAAATCTTTCTACCAGAAATCAGCACTGACTAATCATCACAGCATACACACTGGAGAGACATCTCAACAGCAAAGAATTCACACAGGAGAAAAACCCTATGAATGTGAACAATGTAAGAAGTCTTTTGGAAATAAGTGTTCTCTCACCAATCATCAGAGAATTCATACAGGAGAGAAACCCTATGAATGTAAAGAATGTGGGAAATCTTTCTGCTGGCTATCAAATTTCTCTCTTCATCAGAGAAGTCACACCGGAGAGAGACCCTACCAATGTAAAGAATGTAGAAAATCTTTCTCCCAGAAAACACACCTCTCTCAACATAAGGCAACTCACACAGGTGAAAAACCCTATGCATGTGAAACATGCTCGAAGTCTTTCTCCCAGAAGTCACACCTCTCTCGACATCGAAGAATTCACACAGGAGTGAAACCCTATGAATGTGAAGAGTGTAAGAAATCTTTCTACCAGAAGTCAAACCTCACTGCACACCAGCGAACTCACACAGGAGAGAAACCCCATGAAAATAAGGATTGTAGGAAATCTTTCAAGCACAAGTGATATCTCACTGACCTTCAGAGGTCACCCGGGATAGAAACTGGATGATTCCCCAGCGACTGGTATGCAATTGTCATTGTGGTAGCAGTGGTGGCCTAGGGTAGAAAAGTTCAGTATTTGAGTAATGCTCTTTCTTTTTTCTTTAAAAAAGAAACTAGCTGTATGAAAGTAAAGAATAGGGAAAATATTTCTCGTGGAAGTCATTGCTTACTGCACAACAGAGATCTTACACAGGGTGTAACGTTATTTGGGAGATACTAACAATACATTATAGAAGTCCCTATTTTTTATATACTACAGCTGTGTAGATCTAACCCTTTATCTTGCACGGTGTCCTGTAATTTCACTACAGGTCATGTGAACACATATATTGAACATCACATTCAAGGAAGGTCACAAACAATCTTTGTTCCAGTTTTTTTATGCCCTATTCTCCTGAAATGCAAATGATTCCCAGTTGTGTCCTGAAATCCACAGGGTGAAATAGGAACCTTGACTTGTTTGTAGGTTTTGATTAGCTCAAGTCTCCCCCAGTGCACACCACACAAAGACATGTGTGAGAAATGTCTTCTCCTGAGCCCTTCCCTGTGTGAACTACATGGGCAGTGCATTGAGGGGAGTGAATTATAGGTGGGTTACTCTATGTGTGATTTTCCATGAGCAGTTGCCAATCTTGTATATTAGATTCCCTGAGGAAAGAATGTGTATTAATATCTTTCACATTCAACTTAATTGTTAAAATCAAAAAATTAAGGAAGAAACCAAATCAAAGGCAGGATGCCTGTTCTGGCAGAGGTAGGAGAGGGAATGCTGAATGTAGAGTCCAGTCTTAGAAATGTCTTTAACGTGTCCCACTGTTCACAACTTCCAACTTTTTAAATCACTTTGGAATTCCGATTGATGTGGCTGAAGATTTCCAGAAGGAAATGTTAACTATTTCAAAGAAAAAAATGTTTAATTACTTACGTTGAGTCATTCTCTAGTGGGCTTATTTTGCATCCAGGAGGACATTTTGCCATCCTAAGCAGTGGAGAAATAGAACCTTCTCTTCCTGGAAATCTTGCAGTGGTACATTAAAGTATACATGGGACGGGCTGTATCTGTGTGATTGGAAGATGCGGAATGACGCCGTCTCTCTGGTCACAGAGTCCACAGTCCTTCCACACGCACGCCAGCCTCCAATAAGTCCCAGAAGATCCCATATTGAGCTGTTGTCTCAAAAATCTAGGATGTTGGGCCTCCCCTCGTGGCACAGCGGTTGAGCGCTGGGTTGCGAGGCTGCCCGCAGCCTCTGCAGTGCCAGTTCGATCCCTGGCCACCGGCGCGGGTCCCACAAAAAAAAAAAAATCTAGGATGTCTATGTCTGTCTGAGCTTAGGCCTGTGACTCCTCATCAAGAATCTCCATGTGTCCTGCCTGAGGTTTCGCCTGGCCAGTGTCCCACTGTCGTGTTCTTCCATGGAACACTGCTCTCGGGGAGTCTGGGGGGTCCGCTCCACCCCACCGTGTCACCATCCTACCTGGGTGTGGGAGCCTTTCAGCAGAAGGCACCCTGGATGGAATTCACTGCACTGTCACCCAGGGCACAGACTAGACCCCCATCGTCCCCCTTGGCATCTTAGTGGGTTTGAGACTTGCCTTGGAGGCTCACAATCATCCTAGGAGATGGACTCCCAGCACTGAGGGCTTCTGATGTGTTCCTGGAACAAGGGGCTCAGTTACGTGCTAGGTCCATGAGAGTACAGTCTGCACACGGCCTCTAGTGCCAGTCCTTTCTGTCCACTAGTCAGTGGGGACTATGGACGTGGAATTGACTGGTGACGATCCAGCACCTTGGTTCTTGTTATAATTTCTGTGGCTTCTTGGAGGTTAGGCTGCAGTAACTGAGATAAATCACAACGTGGGTTCTTAGAACCCCTGGGCCTCTCAGGAGCGGGTCTTGGGCCTGCAGCCTTCTGCCTGGGGTCCCAGACCAGTGTGTTGGGTCAGAAGAGCAGACCAGGGCCTCCCTGGTGGTGCAGCGGGTTGAGTGCCGTGCTGTGAAGCTGTCCGCAGCCTCTGCAGCGCAGGTTTGATTTCCGGCTGGCCAGGGAGAAATCCACATGGCGCAGCAGACTTCTCCTGTCTCCCCTGCTGCTCACCTCAGCAGCGTGTTTTGTTCTGTCTGCCTGTTCTGCTCCCCACTCTATCTCTGGTGAATTCTCTCATCCTCATGTGCCTCTGTCTGTACCCAGTTCTTGTAGTGTCTGGTGCTCTCAATGTAAATTCGTTCAAGTAAAATGAATAATAAATAAATTTTTAAAAAAAAAAAAAAAGAGCAGACGAGAAGCTGAGGTTAGGGAAGCGGCTGCTGAGCTGAGTCCAGGTACACACCGCAGACGGTAGTACATCCCCTTGCAGGTGCTGCAGGTCTTGCTTCCAACCACTGCACCCCCACAGGGTTGACTCATGTGTGTCACATGTGTTAAAATATCCTTATTACCCAAACCCATGGAATGAGCCCCAGGGCCTGTGAGCCCTCTCCTTACCTTGAGGAGGACCGCGGCTTGCTCGGTGGCCAGCTCTGGTCTTTCCCGACTCAGGGGCCTGGCACTGTCCTGAGGCACCAGTGTCCATACCTCACCCTACCCAGCCCTCAGGGCCTAGTCCTGGCCCACTCCCAAACCAGGCAGCTGCCTTGGCCTTGGCAGTGCCCTCTGTGGAAATACACTTTCCTGAAGAATGTCCTGTGAGCACTTCAGGAAGCCTCCTTGTCCCCTACCCCACCCCCCCATCCCAGCCCCCAACTCCTTCCAGGAGAGGACTCCGTTACCCCCCAGCCTCTCTGATTCCAGAACTCACAGGTTTTCCTACCTCCCCTTGCCTCTGGCAGACTGTGGACTTTGGCAGTGACCTGGACATTCCCAGCTCGTCCCTGGAGCTGAGTAGGTTGACAGGAAAAGTGTGAGGTAATAAGGTGAGATGAGACCAGAGACAGAGGGTGGGGTGGGGGTGTGCACAGACTCCCCAGCTGCCTTTCCTTGGGGCCTGTAGGCAGGGACTCCTTACCGCTTCTGCCTCTTGGGCTGCAACTGCTCCTGGGCCTGGACTTCCAGTTACCCTCTAGGAGATCCCTAAGGGAACATCAGCCCTGGGCGTCCTCCTCATCCTCCCCCAGACCCCCACATCTGAGAAACCTGACTCCTTTGCTAAAAAAAACCTCTTCCGTGCTGCCCGGGGAAGAGATTTTTTTTTCCTCCCACCATGCCTCTGCCTGTCTGGCCGGGCAGGAGGTTTTGTGTTCAAATTCCTGGAGGTGGCCACCAGCACCGGGAATAAAGCGTCCTTCCGCGACCCGGCGCCGGCCCCGAGCGAGGCCTGACGGCGTCTTCCGGGTTCCTGTGCGCACGCGCGGCCTGTCCCCTCCAGCTGCGCCATCAGCCGGCGCCGCCTCGCGTCTCCGCGGCTCCGACTCGGAATCGTCGGCGCCCTGAGGTGCTTGTGGGGCGCTGGGAGGGAGCAGTTCCGGGGCGCTGAGAACTGGAGCGGGAGTCGGGGGGAAGCTGGGTCGCCTGAGTGCGGGCGTAGCGGTGTCGGGCGGCGGGTTCCGGCGCTCGGGACGCCGCTGGGGAGCGGGCAGAAGGCCCCGCGGGCGTCGGGGGGGGGGCCTGCGTGCAGGGGTGTGGTCGGCTCCGGCGCGGGTCAGGGAGGTGGTGAGGCTGTGGGGGCCGCGGGGGCGCGGGCGGCGCTGGCTGCGCGGTCGGTGCCCGCCTCCGCAGGACGTGGCGCCGTGGGCCGCGAGGTGCAGGTCGCGGCTCTGGGCCCCCCCCTGCGGGGAGGCACCTGGGCGGGGACCAGCCCGTGTGACCCCAGCTCTGGCATCCGCAACCCGGGCGCGGTGCCAGCCGAGAGCCCCGACGCCAGGAGGAAACGGCGCTCGCCGTCGTGGCCTCGTCTTGATGGGAGGCAGCCTCACTCGTGGGGTTTGCTGGAGGGACTGATGCGGCCGAGAGTCGGGGCCCCCCTGCACCGGGTAGCTCCCCCCGCAGTCATTTGCGACCTTTTCCAGGGGCCGAGCTTTAGGGGGCTGTGGGGTCTGGAGGGTGTTCCTTTCCCTTGGCATCGGGGTAGCTGTAAGGGAGCCTGTGCCCCAGGGAGGCAACCCTGTGATGATACATTCCTCCCTGTGTCACATGGCCCTGGCGACTCCATGCGACCTTCTGCCTCTGTGAACTTGCCTCCTCTAAACAGCTCCTGGTCTAGAAACATTTGCTCTGCTCTTGTCTCTGTGGTGGCCTTGCTTCCTGGCACCGGGTCGGCAGGGTCCTGCCCACTCGCAACATTTGTCAAGATTTGTGTCCCTTGTAGCTTCATGCTGTTCCCTCACCAAATGCTAGTGTTCCTTCATGCATTGGCTTCCTGGCCGCCTGGGGCGCCTTGGGCTTCAGCTACGGACTCCACCTCCAGTTCCCACCTCAGTTCCTGAGCCAGGCCATGGTCAGGTCCTATTTTAATTCTGGGTTTGGTCTCCTCAGGACCCACCTCACTTTTCTTCCCTGCTGCCTGGTAATGCAGGCATTCCATTCCCATGCCCACAGCCTGCCAGGTCTGTTCCTTTCTCGTGTGTGACTCTTTTGGTGCTTTAGATTTGCTTTTTATGACTTACCAGCCATTTGTGTTACCTCCTGGTAGAAATGTCTGTTTTAGCTGAATATACTCGCTCCCACAGGACTGTAATTTTCATGCACCTGGTGTGTGCTGTGAGGGCATCTTTAGGCTCTAGCTACTGAAAAGCACTTACTGAAAAACTACTGGTCCACCAAATGTATCTCCTTTATCATAGAGGAAATATGTTTATTCTTTATAACTCCCTCCCCCAAGGATCCTTTTCTCTCGCCTGTAACAGTGTGTCATCTCTCTGTTTCCTTTTGTTGTTTGTATGCTGTGGTTTAGGAATTGCTCCCTCTGGGGTGGACATAAGAATCGTCCCTAGCAGGATGAGAGAGCCTGCTGCGTTTATGCATACTGTTCATTTTTTTTTTAAGATTTATTTATTTATTTATACAAGCACTGGGTACAGTCAGAAGCGCGGGAGGGTGAGAGAATTCACCAGAGCCAGAGTGGGGAGCAGAGCACACTGTTCATGTATAAGTAATTCGAGACACGGTGATCACTAAGGTGGCTTATCATTACAATTAGATCATATTTCTAAAGGAAGAACAGCTTTAATGTGTTTGTCTCTCCTCACCACCCAGAATCACTCTCCACATAGCAACCACACAGGGACATAGGGTTCCTGTCAGTTGCATTTTAATGAACCTGTCTTGTGTGTCATGGCATCTAAATTCTGCTGCAGCCTCATCCTCAGGAGCACAGTGACCCTGTGAGGAGCTCAGCTGTGCAACGCAAGGAGGTGCAGATGCAGTTCACTATATGCTGGGGTTCTTGCTAGATCACCCACCACTGTTTTCTATAAATCCTCGCACACATCTTTCCAGATATTTGTTGGGGTTTATTTATCAGGCCCCTTGACAACTAAAATTTTATTCATGCTCTTGTTCTTAGAGTGAAATTCATTTCCACATTTGTAAGTCAAACTGTATAACGTTATTTTTGTGGACTAATGACTTAACACACAGGTAGGGTGTTTCTGGTGATCCGTCTCCCCGTGTACAGTGCAGAGCGTGATGTGTCTAATATAAGAGAAAACAGGTAGAAAAGAATGAATTCCCAGGCCTCTAAGTGTTCAGACTTTGGATGCTACCTTGAGTGAGGAGATGGTGCCGTTACAGGGGATGGTGACCTTTGAGGCTGTGGCCGTGAGCTTCACCCGAGAGGAGTGGCAGGACCTGGACGACGCTCAGAGGACCCTCTACTGGGACGTGATGCTGGAGACCTACAGGAGCCTGGTGTCCCTGGGTGAGAAAAACTCCCCATTAAAACCTAGTGAAATCATTGGTTTTTCACTGACACATGAACAGCTATGAATGTAATGAAACACTATTTAGATTTGAGATTTGAGATCAACGAGATATGACTGTCCCCTTCTCAATTGAATAATAGTTTATTACACAAAAGTGAAAGCTCTGGTGTTTCTTCCAGGGCTATGACATAAAGCATGTATTTCTCATTAATAGGTCGTTGAGTTATGAAGCCTGAGCTGATGATCAGAATGCAGCAAGGAGCAGCCATGGGCTGGGGAAGGACCCCCAGATCAGACCCTGTCAGGTCAGTGAGCTCATTCTAGTGAGGAAGGCCTGGGAGAGCAGAGCCCCCCAATGAGCCCACCTGAACCATTATTGCCCCTGGCCCTCCCGGGTCAGCCCTTGGAGAGTTAGTGTGTACGTCTCACCACGTTCCTTACTCCGGGTGCCAACATCCCTCCCCCACATCTACTCTCCACTTTTTATAAATAGCCATAAATCTTCTTAGACTTCACCAATATGCAGTCCCTGTGTCCTACATTGGCACTTCATCTTGGTCTGTGACTTTACTGGCATCTTAGTTTCCCTCCTCTCCTCGTGGAGTATTTCATGGAGTATTTTCTTTCAGGCATTTACTCATATAGTCTTCTGTTCTCTCAACATGTTTACTAGGAGGTGTTAGAGGCAGGCATATTTTGTAGCTTTTGTTTTAACAATATTAATCAAAACAAGCCTATTTTTCTACAGCTTATAACTCTTGACAAATAAAAAAGTACAATATACACATATTCTATAGTGAAATAACAGTCACAGATTTTAACTAAGCTGAGGGAGATAGAAATGTGTTATTATTTTTAGAAATTGGGCTCAGATGACACTTTTATAGAACTTCAGTATGTGTGTGTGTATATTAATTTAGAATATTGTGTTCTAATGTGATGGCTAAAATGCAAGTGTATGTTCCCTCTGGAGTTCAGGGTGGACATCATGATCATAGATAGACATTAGGAGATGGTTAAATCAAAAGTAGAAGTAGTTTTGCCCCTGGAGTTTACTAAGGGCAGAAATGACAAGGTTCAGGGCAAACCACGTGACCCGCACTAGCAGTTGTGCACCTGGGCATGTCCTTGCGCACTGATCACATTCCGAAGGGGTGGGTGTGACCCAGAGAAGGAAGGGACATTGTGGGTTCAAAACCAACATGGCCAAGTGTTTTAGGGCTCAGACTTTGGGAGTGGAGTTTCAAGTTAGTGTTTTCTCTTTCTCTTGTGGAAAATACTTTTTAAAGGAAAGATGAGAAACATATCTGGAGTTTCATTTCCGTGTAACAAGGAGACTGATGAATGTTTCACATGCAAAGAGAAAATCTTCAACTGCCATGAATTATCCATTGGAATTTTTTACCAAAAAGAGGAGTGTACCTGAACTGTTCCTTTCAGGTAGCTGTGGAAAAGGTTTTGTTAAACATAGAGGGCACAGCCTATGTTCCTGAATCTATATCCTGTACAGCACAGGGAAGAGTAGCACAAACAGGTTCAATAAGAAATTCTTCTCTATAGGTTCTCAGAAGCCAGTGAGGTAGTGTTTAGAAATTTCAGAAATTTCAGAAAGCTGGGTCTCCCTGGTGGCGCAAGGGGTTAAGACACAACCTATGAAGCGATCCACAGCCACTGCAGCATGAGTTTGATCCCCAGCCAGGGAGCTACCCCCATGACATGGCAGACCTCTCCTGCCTCGCCCGCTGCTCGCCTCAGCAGTCTATTTCAGTCAGTCTGCCTATTCCGCTCCCCACTCTATCTTTGGGAATCCTCTCTCTCCCCACAACTCTGACCTATACCCCAGTTCTTGTATGCATGAATGAATAAATCTTTTTTTAAAAACAGAAATTTCAGAAAGCTGTCTATGAAGAGCTGCTGGCTTTGGAAGAAACCCACACTACATTTATGTGCTCCTTAGGGAGAGGAAAACACTAAATAAATGTACTAGCAAAATTATCCTTGACATTTTTTCCTACTTAGGCGTAGACACCTCACCCAGTAAATAGCAGGTTACGAAAGTCTCGCCACCCTAACAGCTGGATCACAGGGAAACTAGCTCAGGAAACAGCTATGGGAAGGATGCCGAGGAGTAGAACTGGGTTAACCACCGGTTGGTGAAAACCTCTTACTGAAGATCTACAGTTACGGAGGAGGTGACTCCATTGACCAAATGTATGAAGAATTTTGTTTTTGCTTTTGTCTTTTGGGTACACTTGCTTGACATTATAATATACTTTAACTAATAATACCTGTGGGTAAATGTGCCTTCGTGTATAGCATAAAACTTTAATGTGTAGCATAAAGCCAATGGTGATTATTGATTTCTCTTCAACTGTTTGAATTCTGTTATCTGAATTAAGTTCTTCACTTCTGCAGTAACTACCACAAGAAATGCGTCAGTGTTGTTCAAGGCGTGCTTATCTTCCTCTCATTGTAGGAGTCCAGATGAGGCCGCACCCTCTTGTGACTCCCCAGGACATTCAGGGCAAACATTGGTGTAACTTTGTTTTCACCAGCCACAAAACAGCAACAAGCGAAAGAATCAACTGGAGAAAACCACTGAGTTTAAGCTCAACCCATACTTTGGAAAGAAATCATTGAAATTATTCAGGAAGGATGCCTGAGGACACCAATGGTATGTGTAAGACTGTATTTCCCCTTGATGAGCCTGGTGAGGAGCCTGATGGAGACACAGCAGGGGACTGTCACCTCTGTGGGCAACTGGCCCACTGTCCTGATCATCCTAATGGTCAACAGATGATTCAAACATTTCAGCAGCCTCCTGAACTCTGTGGGCAAGAGAAAGCCTTGAACAAGGGGTCAGTAGTCTTTGCATGTAAGACAGCTGTTATGGGAGAAACTCCCTATAAAAAGAAGGAATACAGAAGAGCTTGTGATAATTATGCTCTTACTATCAATGAGACAACTCACACTGGAGAGACCCTATAGAGATGTGACGAAGGGTGGGCTGTGTTTGAGAAACCAACAGTTATTTCCTGATCATGATCTTTTTGATGAGCTCCTTAAATCTAATTAAAGTGTGGATATTTGCAGCAGGAAATTACACATCATTCACAATCAGTGGACCATGTCTGAGAAAAACTTTGAAGATACTATATATAGGAAAACTTATTGCAAAATATCTGTCCCCTCTATACCTCAGAGCATTGATACAGGCGGAAGGACTTCAGAGTTTTTGAAAACCTGTAAGAATTGAGTACTCTGTAAACCTCAGAGAATTCTCACAGGAGAGAAAAGCTGTAAAGTGTAAAGAATATGGAAAAGCTTTTTCCTTGCAATCACCCTTACTATACAACAGAAAATTCACAGAGGAGAGAAACCCTATGAATGTAAAGAATGTGGGCCATCTTTCTGCCGGAAATCAGTCCTGACTCTCCACCAAAGAATTCACACCAGAGAGAAGCCCCACCAATGTAAACAATGTAGAAAATCTTTCACCTACAAATCATATCTTATTACACATCAAAGAATTCACACAGGAGAGAAACCCTATGAATGTAATGAATGTCGAAAATCTTTTACCCACAAATCATCCCTCATTACACATCACAAAACTAACACAGGAGAGAAACCCTATGAATTGAAAGAATGTGGGAAATCTTTCTGCGGGAAATCAGACCTGACTCTTCCAACACAGAATTCATAGTGGAGAGAAGCCCTCCCAATGTAAAGAATGTCAAAAATCTTTCACCCACAAATCATCCCTCATCAAAGAACTCACACAGGAGAAAAACCCCGTGAATGTGAACAGTGTAGGAAGAGTTTTGCAGATAAATGTTCTCTGCTACCCATCACAGGATTCACATAGAAGAGAAACCCTATGATTACGAAAAATGTAAGAAAACTTTCTCTCAGAAGTCACACCTCACCAGACATCAGAAAAGTCACACAGGGGAGAAATCCTATGAATGTAAAGAGTATAGAACAACTTTTTCCCGGAAGTCAAACCTCACAGAACATGAGAGAATACACACAGGTGAGAAACCTTATGAATATAAAGAATGTGGAAAATATATTTTTCCAAGAAATCATCTCTTACTACACATCACAAAACTCACACAGGGGGGGAAACCCTATGAATGTAAAGAATGTAGGAGAACTTTCTGCCAAAAATCAGACCTGACTCAACACCAGCTAATTCACTTAGAAGAGAAACCCCACAAATGCAAAGAATGTTGTAAATCTTTCTCCAGCAAAAAATCCCTCATTATACATCATTAAACTCATACAGGAGAGAGACCCTACAAATGTAATGAATGTGTGAAATCTTTCGGTATGAAGAAACTGCTCACTAGACATCCGAAAACTCACACAGGAGAGAAACCCTATGAATGTAAAGAATGTAGAAAATCTTTTTCCTCGAAGTCAGCGTTTACCACACATCACAGAACTCATGCAGGAGAGAAACCCTATGAATGTGAAGAATGTAAGAAAACTTTCTACCAGAAGTCAGACCTTACTTTACTATACATCACAGAATTCATGCAGGGGAGAAAGCCTATGAATGCAAAGAATGTGGGCAATCTTTTTACAGGCTAACAGGCCTGAATAGACACCAGCACATTCATACTGGAGAACAACCCTAAATTGTAAGGAATGTAGGAAAAATTTTAATGATAATATACAACTTCATTATACACCAGAGAACGCACAAAGGAGAGAAATTCTACAAACGTAAAGTATGTGGAAAGTCTTTCTCCAGAATTTCATCCCTGATTATACCTCAGAGAACTCACACAGGAGAGAAACCCTATGAATGTGCAACATGTAAGAAGTCTTTTTCCCAGAAGACACAACTCTCAGGACAGCAGAGTACATACACAGGGGAGAAATTCTATGAATGTAAAGTATATAGGAGACCTTTCTGTCAATATATAAGCCTCATGCATAAAAAATTCACACAGGAGAGAAGCCCTATGTATGTAAAGAATGTGTGAAATCTTTTTACAGTTTATCAGAACTGAATAGATATCATAGAATTCATACCAGAGAGAAAACCTAAAACTTAAGGTTTTGGGAAACTCTTTTACCAGAAAGCCATCCCTATTACACACCAAAGAACTCACACAGGAGAGTGTAAAACATGCAGGAAGTCTTTTTCCCAGGAAACACACCTCTCAAGACATCAGAGAATGTACACAGGAGAGAAAACCTATAAATGTTAAGAAGAACAGAAATTTTTTCTTCACAAGATAATTCTCATAGGAGAGAAATGCTAAAATGTAAAGAATGCTGCAAATCATTC